GGCCACTGGGGGGGTGGCACCGGGTAGTGGCTCTGACGTCTGCCAGAGCCACCACCATCTTCCCCATGCATGGAGGCTGAGGCACCAGAAGACGCTATCATAATTTCTGCACTCCTGCAGAAACGACAGTAGCAGAAAGGTCATAGCAGGTGATATCAAGCCACAATTAGGATATTTTGACAGGTCAAGTTATAAGAAATCATGTTTGTATAACTGACTTGTGCACGTTTAGTTACTGTACATAATGGTGGCTGGTGCAAGACCATCACACACAAGTATTTAACATCGAGGAATTCTAGGATGTGATTGTAGATTCGAGAGATTTTTACATTTCAAGCCATAGTGTGTCGGGTTAGGTTACTCTAGATCATAGTTTGTTTAGGTTTCTCAAAGTTATTTATAACGCTTTATGTATCCCACATCTCCCTTGACTCCTCCCGTTAGATTTGCAAAGTTTTAAGTATCCCCCAGGATAACTTTACACTATCACCATATCAAAGTCATTGCAATACAATGTAAAAAAAAAAAAAAATCCCACAACAGCATAATATACAAGAAAACAAAAAGACGAAACTCACTCTACGGTGGGAATTAGCACCAGTGTGAACAACAAGATCAGCAGCAGAGGACTAATTACATGCATGATAAACTGGCTGGGTAGAGGTGAGGTGTTTCAGAAGACGCGGTGCTGAGTTCCCAAGCTTGACTTCGTGCGTGTGCTACCACCATCTGCCTTGATACCTCAGTATCGCAGCTTTTAAAAGAACAATAAAACTTGACGGGTTGGTTAAGTTGATGTTAGATTAATTAGTAGCACAAACATCATGCACTTCTGATACCGCAGATCAATTTTTTTTAGCAAGATTTAAAAGGTTTTGGTGGGTCGACATTTAATGAACGTAAACAGACCGTAATTACTAACACTGGGGAAGTTATATATTTTTTACACTAACATTATTTTTAAGTTAACTTCCCGGAACACTTATACAAGCTACAAGTATAATTTTGGCAACTCGTAATTGATAGAGATTACTGAATGAAACTGTGTCACACAACATTTTTGACAATTTAAATTATAAATAGATTATCTCGCCAGTTTTAGAGACGCCAGAAATAAACGAAAACAAAAGTTGACAAACCAGGTATAATATTATGGCAAGATACTGAGCAGGACACAGAAAGTTCCTCCTGCAGTGATGCTACTGCCGGCGACGCTGTCGATCTCTCTACTGGCCCTCCCTGGCTCATCCTGGGTCGAAGAGGTTCGAATTTTTTGTTCATACTTCATATTCCCCATGACGCCTCACGTCTCATGAATCATCAAACTTTTGTGATATTTCTGTAAGCTACACAGATTGATACACTCTATAACACAGAAGATAACGTAATTTACTGAAAAGTTCTTCAGAAAATTATGACAAATTGTACACAAGAATTAGTATCTCCATCGGGTCAAGAGTTCAACCTTTCGGGTAGGGAATTATAATCATTTTATTGAGAGAAGAGCGCTAAACCATAGAGCGCCTGGGGGATGAGAGGTAGTGAGGGTTGATCTGAGGAAGGGCAGAGCACCTCCAGTCCCTTGAAGTGACGTAAGAAAGAAACTGGATCTCATAGGTCCAGAAGTTATGAAATACTTCACTCAAGTGAACCATCAAAGCGTCCCCGTCGCAACGTGGATTCGAATCTGTTGAGCGAGAAATTTTTGTGAAACAAGCGTGGACTCAGCGGCCATGTAGAATATTCTGATGAATCATGTGTGTGTGTAATATCCTCTTTTAACTAAATTTGTTGTGGCCAAAGCCATCAACCTGCAAGCAGTATGAGGAAGGAAAGACGATATAACATCTTACCTGCATACAACATGAAGCCAGCTTACACCGAGGCCTCGGAGCTTACGAGACAGCTATTAGTTTCTTAGATTTAAAACCTATCCATTGCACGAGGCTCATTAAAGCAGCAATCCACTTATCATTAAGGAAACTTTAATCACTCACATAACGATGAATATAAATTCTTAGCGAATATATGCTGAGAGATGCGTACCTCGTGGTGACACACTCTGTGGGAACCAAGCGGATTTTGGAATAAAATTGACGATTTTCCAATGTTGTCTCCACAGATACTAAACACTGTATGTAGTAGTTGTCGATGGTCAGAAATCCCGATAACGCTTCGATGTTCACTATTTTTTTATAGTTATTTTGTGTGCGTACTCACCTAGCTGTACTCATCTAGTTGTGGTTGCAGGGGTCGAGTCATAGCTCCTGGCCCCGTTTCTTCACTAGTCGCTACTAGGTCACTCTTCCTGCTCCATGAGCTTTACCATACCTCTTCTTAAAGATATGTATGGATCCAGCCTCCACTTCATCACTTTCCAGGCTATTCCACTTCCTGACAACTCTGTGACTTAAGAAATGCTTCCTAACATCCCTGTGAGTCATCTGAGTCATCAACTTCCAACTGCGACCCTTGTTGCTGTGTCCCATCTCTGGAATATCCTGTCTGTCCACTTTGTCGATTCCTCTCAGTATTTTATGTTATCATAGCCCCCCTATCTCTCCTGTCATCTAGTGTCGTCAGGTTGATTTCCCTTAACCTCTCCTCGTAGGACATACCCTTAGCTCCGGGACTAGTCTTGTTGCAAACCTTTGCACTTTCTCTAGTTTCCTTACGTGCTTGGCAAATGTGGGTTCCAAACTGGTGCTGCTTACTCCAAAATAGGCCTAAAGTACACGGTGTACAGGGTCCTGAACGATTCCTTATTGAGATGTCGGAATGCTGTTCTCAGGTTTACTAGGCGCCAGTATGCTGCAGCAGTTATTTGGTTGATGTGCGCCTCAGGAGATGTTCCCGGAGTCATGTTCCCGGTGTTATACTCACCCCAAGATCCTTTTCCTTGAGTGAGGTTGGTAGTTTCTGGCTCCCTAGACTGTACACCGTCTGCGGTCTTCTTTGCCCTTCCCCAATCTTCATGACTTTGCACTTGGTGGGGTTGAACCCCAGGAGCCAATTGCTGGACCAGGCCTGCAGCCTGTCCAGATCCCTTTGTAGTTCTGCCTGGTCATCGTCCAATTGAATTCTTCTCATCAATTTCACGTCATCTGCAAACAGGGGCATTTCTGAGTCTATTCCTTCTGTCATGTCGTTCAAAAATACCAGAAGCAACACCGGTCCTAGGACTGACCTCTGTGGAGCCCCACTCGTCACAGGCGCCCACTCTGACACCTCGCCACGTACCATGACTCGCCGTTGTCTTCCTGACAGGTATTCCCTGATCCATTACAGTGCCTTCCCTGTTATACCTGCCTGGTCCTCTAGCTTATGCACTAATCTCTTGTGTGAAACTGTGTCAAACGCCTTCTTATAGTCCAAGAAAATGCAATCTACCCACCCTCTCTCTCTTGTCTTACTGCTGTCACCATGTCATAGAACTCCAATAGGTTTGTGACACAGGGTTTCCCGTCCCTGAAACAGTGCTGGCTGCCGTTGATAAGCTCATTCCTTTCTAGGTGTTCCACCACACTTCTGATAATCTTCTCCATGACTTCGAATACTATACAAGTCAGTGACACTGGCCTGTAGTTTAATGCTTCGTGTCTGTCTCGTTTTTTAAAAACTGGGACTATGTCTGCTGTCTTCTATACCTCAGGTACTCGCCCTGTTTTAATAGTGTTGAAGATTGTTGTTAGTGGTACACACAGTGCCTCTGCTCCCTCTCTCAGGACCCATGGAGAGATGTTATTTGGCTCCATCCACTTGATCTTTGACTGTTGTTTTCCTCCAGATGTGGCTGTACAACAGCTTCGGGTCAGAGTTGGCTTTCGCTGCTATGTCATTTTCATGTTGTCGTTGGGCCTCCCTTCTTACCTGTGCATATTCATTCCTGGATCCACGACTGCTGTCCTTATTCTCCTGGGGTCCTTTGCCTTCTATACTTCTTCCATTCTCTAGCATATTTGTTTATATATATATATATATATATATATATATATTATATATATATATATATATATATATATATATAATATATTATATATATATATATAATCGCCTTCTTTCAACAAACCGGCGCCGTATCCCACCGAGGCAGGTGGCCCAAAAAGAAAAACAAAAGTTTCTCTTTTTAAGTTTAGTAATGTATACAGGAGAAGGGGTTACTAGCCCTTGCTCCCGGCATTTTAGTTGCCTCTGGCGAGAGTAGTAATGGACGTGGAATGATGATTATGAGAGTGTTTCTTTTTCATCAGGTCACCTGACTCTATCTGAAACAAGCCAATGTGTAAATAAATATATATTTATATATATATATATTATATAATATATATATATATATAATATATATTTATATATATTATATATATATAATTATATATATTATTATATATCTATATATATATTGTTTCTGGAATTTTCTTGAACAGGTTGCTTGCAATTCCATTATATTGTGTTGAGAGGATGAGCCTCTGTCGGATGTTCTGGCTGCTTCCTGCCTTCCCCAATCACACGTAATAAGTGCCGAGCCAAGACAGGCTTTGCGCACGGGCCAAGACAGGCTTTGCAGCACCGGGGCCAAGACCAGGAGGTCTGCAGCACGGGCCAGCCAAGCCAGGCTCTGCAGCACCGCGGCCAGAGGGGCCCCAAAATAAAAAAAAAAGGCCGCGTCTGCAACACCGGGCCAGCCAAGCCAGGCTCTGGCAACACCGGGCCAGCCCAAGCCAGGACTCTGCAGCACCGGGCAGCCAAGGCCAGGCTCTTGCAGCACAGGCCAGCCAAGTCAGGCATCTGCAGCGGACCCGGGCCAGCAAGCAGGCTCTGCAACACCGCGCCAGCCAAGCCGGCTCTGCAGCACCGGCCAGCCAAGCCAGGCTCGCAGCAACGGGCCAGCCAAGTCAGGCTCTGCAACACCGGGACAGTCAAGAAAGGCTCTGCAGGCACCGGGGCCCCAGCCAAGCCAGGCTCTGCAAAACACGGGCCCAGCAAGCCAGGCTCTGCAGCACCGGGGCCAGCCAAGCCAGGTCTGGCAACACCGGGCCAGCCAAGCCAGGCTCTTGCAGCACCGGGCTGCCAAGGCCAGGCTCTGCAGCACGGGACAGCCAAGGCCAGGGCTCCCTGCAACACCGGGCCAGTCAAGCCAGGCTTCTGCAGCACGGGCCAGCCAAGCCAGGCTCTGGCCAACAACTGGGCCAGCCAAGCCAGGCCTTGCAGCACCGGGCCAGCCAAGCCAGGCTCTGCAACACCGGGCAGCCCAAGCCAGGCTCTGCAGCACCGGGCACCTGCCTGCCAAGCAGGCTCTGCAACACCGGGCCAGCCTAGCCAGGCTCTGCAGACGGGCCTGCCAGCCAGGGCTCTGCAACACCGGGCAGCCAAGCCGGCTCTGCAGCACCGGAGCCAGAAGCCAGGCTCTGCGCAACGGGCAGCCAAGCCTAGGCTTGCAGCCCGGGCTAGCCAACCCAGGCTCTGCAGCACCGGGCCAGCCAGCCAGGCTCTGCAGACCACCGGGCCAGCCAAGCCAGCTCTGCAGCACGGGCCACCCAGCCAAGCCAGGCTTCTGCAGCACCCGGGCCAGCCAAGCCAGCGCTCTGCAGACCGGGCCAGCCAAGCCAGGCTCTGCAACACCCGGCCCAGCCAAGCCAGGCTCTGCTAGCACCGGGCAGCCCAAGCCAGGCTCTGCCAGAACCGGGCCAGCCAAAGACAGGCTCGCAGAACCGGGGCTAGCCAAGCCAGGCTCTGGCAGCAACCGGGCCAGCCAAGCCAGGCTCTGCAGCAACCGGGCCAGCCAAGCCAGGCTCTGCAGGCACCAGCCCAGCCAAGCCAGCTCTGAGCACCGGGCTCCAGCCAAGCCAGGCTCAGCAGACACCGGGCCAAAGCCAAGCCAGGCTCTGCAACACCGGGCAGCCAAGCCAGGCTCTGCAGCACCGGGCCAGCCAAGCCAGGCTCTGCAACACCGGGGCAGCCAAGCCAGGCTCATGCAAAACACGGGCCAGCCAAAGCCAGGCTCTGCAGCCAACGGGCCAGCCTAAGCCAGGCTCTGCAACCACCGGGCAGCCACGCCAGGCTCTGCAACACCGGGGCCAAGCCAAGCCAGGATCTGCAGCACCGGGCAGCTAAGCCAGGCTTGCAAAAAAAAATAAGGGGGCCCCCCCCCCAAAAACCCCGGGGCCAGCAAGCAAGCTCTTGCAACACCGGGCCAGCCAAGCCAGGCTCTGCAGCACCGGAGCCAGCCAAGCCAGGCGCTGCAAAACACCGGGCCAGCCATGCCAGGCTCTGGCAGCACCGGGCCCCAGCCAGCCAGGCCTCTGCAGCCACCGGGCCAGCAAGCCAGGCTCTGCCAGCACCGGGCAGCCAAGCATGGCTCTGCAGCACAGTGGGCCAGCCAAGCAGGGCTCTGCAAGCACGGGCAGCCAAAGCCAGGCTCTGCTGCACCGGGCCAGCCAATCCAGGCTCTGCAACAAGGGCCAGCCAAGCCAGGCTCTGCACACCGAACCAGCCAAGCCAGGCTCTGCAGCACCGGGCCAGCCAAGCCAGGCTATGATAGCACCG